CCCTTGTGAAAGGAAACAAAGAAAGTATGCTAGCTGTAATGAAATTGGCCATTTGAGTGTCTCTCCCCTCTCCTTGTTTAATAATTTCCTTAAATTATTAAATTTTCTTGTGTATTGAAAGTTAGATTAAATCAGTGTATAGAAATTATTTAGTATACAAGGCCTTGACATAGTACTCAGTATACTCCAGGCTTGATAACATACTGCTTCTTCATGGAAATGATCATGTTCCATGAGTTATCTCTGCCCTCAAGAACAACTGTAGTGATATTTTCCTTCTGGATAAGAAAAATAGTTGATGTGTTAAACTTCACTCCTATTTCGGACCATGGTGGTGCTTGAGTGTGTAGGGACCTCAGGAATCTTACCCTGTCAAGATTATAGCCTTAAACAAGACTTGAGGGAAATTAAAAAGCAAATTCTAGATTTTCTTTGCCTTTAAAATGTACTACAGGGGCCGGGGATTTAGCTCAATGGTTCTGCTGCCTGCTTCACAAACACAAGGACCGGAGTTCAATCCCTGGTACCAAAAAAATAAATAAATAAATAAAATAAAGTGTACTACAATTCTTTAGGAAGTTGCTAAGTAAGGGGAAGAGGAGGGTAGTTTCAGTTTAAAATTGATCAGAGCACTATTCTTTATCTTATTAGTAATAGGGAGGAAATGACACAATAGAATTTGAAAGAATAAGTTTTCATTTTTAAATTACCTTCACTGAATAAAAAACTACAACATAGTACATAATTACTAATTTGTTTTAGTTTACTTGTGGTTAATTTTGCTTCTTCAGTAAAGGACCTTTTTAGGTTTGCATTTATACAGAAGAAACTCTCTTGTGTTGGGTGGGAGGGTATGTAGTGGAGAGGGAAATACAATCGCATGTATAGTTGCTGTATGCCTGTTGATCCTGTCGTTTAGTGTGGGAGTCCTAGTTGATATTCCTGTCAAGGTGGAAATATCAGTCCTGCCCAAACAGGAAGTGATCTCTGAGTGCTGTCCACACAGGAAGTCCTTCCTCCCTGACTGCTGCCATATAGGAAGTGCTCACTGAGGGCTGCCCACAGAGGAAGTCCTGGTGAATGCTAATGAGCACTGTTCTTCTGGTGTCATACACTCATGCAGGGTCTGCTAATAGTCACCGCATTTATTCACCACTGACTATTTTCTGTCAGTTCTGGCATGTGGATTAGCCCAGATAAATATTATCAAGAAAACTGAATTACCTTGTTTTCCCTCCCCATAGAGAGATGAAGAATGTAGCCTGATTACCTTACCTAAACCAGAGAAAGTAGGCTGGAGAAGGCTGAGATAGACTCCTATGCTCTTTTGCTGAGATGAATGGGTGCTTAACTATGACCATCTAGCCACTGGTTTCCCTAATTAGATTGAATGTGTTTAAACTAGCTGCAAGCTTTATCCATAGGAAGTCTTTTCAAATTCCAAGGCAGCTTAGGGGTTTTAAGAGCAGAATTTAAAAGGTCAACCAGTGATGAAATGGAGTTTGGTAAAAATCATTCTTTATATGTAGTATTTTTCTCCCTCCCTTCTTTTTTCCTTCCTTTTGTTTACCATTTGTGCTTTCCAGGCACATAGTTTAACGACACAATATAAATTTATAAATTTACTTTAAATTTATCAAATTCTCAAGTTGTAGTTAAAAGACTTGTCTGTTTTTGCATTTCAGCGTAGGAGGGTTTAATTCTTCACTGCTTTAAATCAAGCCTTCCACTGATGCTAATGGTTAGCCTATATTAAGCTGTAACTTTCAAGAGTTGTGTACAGAATTTATTCTTTATTTTTTTATTCTCAAACAAATCAATTGTTTATTAAGTTTTTAAGTGGTTTTTTTTTTTTTTTTTTTTTTTGGTACCGGAGATCGAACTTGGGTCCTTGTGCTTGCAAGGCAGGCCACCGAACCGCTGAGCTAAATCCCTGGCCCTATTAAGATTATTTTTAACTAATAACCTAAGACCATGAAATTATATGTATTAATAATCACATATTTCAGCACATGTATACATTTTGTCATGTTTAAATCAGGTAAAGTGTATTTATCTCTTAAAACATTTATCATTTCTTTATATGGAAAACTTTCAAACTCCTTTTTTTTTTTTTTTGCTTTTTGAACTACACAGGTTCATTATTGTTGTCTGTAGCCACCCTGCTCTGCCGTAGCACACCAGAACCCCTTTCTCCTGTGTAACTATAACTGTGCCCTTTGATGAGCCTTCCCCATCTCTCCTGTCTTCCTGTTCTCCCCATTCTCTGGTTACCACCCTTGTAATCGCAACTTTTCTTCTGTGTATGAGGGAGATAATGTGATGCTTCTCTTTCTGTTTCTGGCTTATTTCATTTAACATGAAGATCGCCCGCTCCATCCTTGTCCCATATGACAGGGTTTCACCTTCTGTGTGTTAGTTACTTTTTTCTTGTTGCCGAGACAAAATAGGCAACCTCCAAAGTTAGAGTGGAAGGGGTTTATTTGGCTTACAGTTCATAGAGATTTCATCCACAGTTGGCTGCCTCCAAGACAGATAACAAACAGGTATTGTAGAGGAGAAACAGTATGGAGTACAAAGATAGCAAAGGCAGTAAGGGAGTTTAACAGCTCTTTCTTCCCCTTTTGTCTTATTCAGACTACTGGGATTAGGGTGCTGCCAAACTAATCACTTACATGTAGTGGTTTAGTGAATCTCATGTCCTTAACCCCAGCATCACACATTCGAGATTCAACTACCTCTGAAAAAGAAAGTCCCACCTCCTCTGCATGAGGCTTTGGGGGGACATCTGAAGACAAACCATAACACTATATGGCTGAATTATACTCTGTTATGTAAACACATTTTCTTCATCCATTCAGTGTTGATGGATACTCTGATTATTTCCATTTTCATTATTCGTTATTGTGAATAGTACTGTAATGAAGATGACAGCATGGGTACCTTTAACATACGGATTTCATTTCCTTTGGACATATACCTAGTAGTGGGACAGCTGGGTATGGTAGTCCTATTCTAATTTTTTGATGAAACTCAATGCTGTTTTCCATAATGGCTGTCAAAATTAACTAATTTTTTGATCCATTCTTCTCTTTTGTGTATGACTTTATCATATGGTAAGCTTCTACTCTACTCTGGGCAGCAGGGAGACATAAGCTGTGTAACCTGTCTCCATAGGTAGAGAGATACTACTCTGGTACATATGGACATTGGTCAAACATACATTAAGTCAGTTGTGTGAATTCAGAAATGTAAACTATGAGTTTATTTCTTCTATCAAAAATAAATACTTGAAATCTTTCATTTACAAATTCCCAATAAGTCATAGGCACCATGTTTTTTTCAACCATACAAGTCAACGCCCTGTACTCTTCTTTCCTCCTGACAGAAACAAAGCAGAGGTTACAGTGGAGGAGGACTTGGAATGCAGTCTTCAGATATCCAATCATTGTGTTTGTTTTATTTCATTGCAATCCCACTAGGAGGTGGGGATGGACCTGACGCACAGCTCTTTCAAACTTCTTCTCCAAGTCCTATCTCTGGTGTCCAAGGTTTCTTCCCCTCCCTCTCCCTCTCCACCCCTCCCCTCTCCATCTCCCTCTCCCTCCCTCTCTCTCCCTGTCTCTCCCTCTCCCTCCTCCCTCCCTTCCTTCCTTTTTTTTAAATTTTGTGGTGCCTGGGATCAAACTCAGGGCCTTGCACATATTAAGCAAGGGCTTTACTACTGAGCTGCTACCCTCTCCCCCAGCCTTGCCTCATTTTCTTGTGTGTGGTAGTAAAGTTCACGTTGTAAGAATTGACATTTTTGTTGAATCTCTGGTGACTACTTCATTTTATACATTCAAACTTAAAACAGATTATGTCATCGGGTTAATATATATACTATTTAGAAGATCAAAGATGCAAAATTTCCTCTCTTGATGTGAAATAACTGAGTGTTTGCTGTGAGGCCACCTTAGATTGTGCTGTCTTCCATCTCAAACTAAGCCACTTCCTTAAAAGTTGTGTGTGTGTGGCATAGGGTCAGAGAACAGCGGTTTCCTTCCATTGGTTCACAGAGAATTATCTGGTCATTCTTCCTAGGAGGCTCCGGTTGATAAAACCACACCAAACCCTTGGTTGTAGGCTTTAGGAGAGTTGATATTGTTGATGCATAGCCTGGGAAGATTTCTAACAGCTACACCATTCTCACATGGGTTAAATTCACAAGGTTTTCCAAAGAGAAAGGTAGTGTGCCTGTGAATCTTCTCCAGATGCTCAGTGAAGTCATGTGCTTGTAGTACTAGGTGAAGACCTCTTTATTTGATGATGTAGAATAAACTAACTTTCTTATCTCTTGAACAGTAATTTTTAAAGAGCCTTCTTAATAAAACAATCAGCAGCTTTTCATCAAATGTTCTTCAGATTTTGAAAGCCTTTTCAAAAGTCTAATTTCTAAAGTACTGCATATTAAGATATTACCATGTGACATTATGCAAGTTAATTTTGAGTCTCAGAGATGTGTTCTTTAAAAATGTGGGAATAAGTTAATTTTACATAAATGAAGTCACATTAAAATACAATAGCGGTTTTTGTTGTTTGTTTGGGCAGTACCGGGGATTGAACCCAGGATCTTCATACTGGAGTTACGTCCTGGCCCTTTTCCATTTTTTATTTTGAGACAGGGTCTCGCTAAGTCACTAAGTGACCCATGCTGGCTCCAATATGCCATCTCTGTCTTACCTTCCCACAGTGCTGGAATTACAGGTATATGCCACCACAATTGGTGCACATAGAGAATAAAATCCTATCATTTCATGTTGAAGGGCAAGGATTTCTTTTTTTAATAGAAAGAATAGATTGTGTTGAAGGTGTAAATTAAAATTTATGCATCAAAGTGGCTGAAGATAATCTGTATTTAGACCTTAATAACTTCATTTTATCTTGGAGCTCATGAAGCCTCTGAATGGTGCTTAATCCTTCCCTGTAGTGACCTGACACTCCTGATCTTTGGTTTACAGCAGTCTCTGGTCCCAGCGCACCCCATGGCCCCTCCTAGTCCCAGCACCACCAGCAGTAATAACAACAGTAGCAGCAGTAGCAACTCAGGATGGGATCAGCTAAGCAAAACGAACCTCTACATCCGAGGCCTGCCGCCTAACACCACTGACCAGGATCTGGTGAAGCTATGTCAACCGTAAGTATAGTTACTTGTGTACTTTTAGCTGCTAAATATTTTCTTGGTCATATTATCGATTGCATGAATTATATCATAGGAGAAGTTTATAAGACAAATTTATGGATCCTCAGTACCACAACAATGAAACGAGTTTCCAAGTTTTAAGTTGTTGGACCCTTGTCTAATCAGCATCAACATTAGCAGAATGCCTATATAATAGTCAGTATTATACACTGGACATTTCCTCAATAGAATTTAACTTTATTGGCATATGAGAGGTAAAATATGAATTTTTTAAAAATGTAGCTCCTGCACTGGGGAACTTAGCTCAGTGGTTCTGTCGCCTGCCTTGAAAGTGCAAGGTCCTGAGTTTGATCCCCCGTACCAAAAAAAAAAAAAAAAAAAAAAAAAAAAAAAAAAAGTAGCTCCTTTTTGGGAGTGTTCCTTTTTCATGCATATGACTCAAAAGGGAGTCAGTCTATCCTGTATAGAAGGTACAGGTGTCATTATTTGTCAGAAAGGTAGCTAACCATCTAACCTCATCATAAATGTGTAGAAAGTTCTTCATTATTTCTAGCACAGTATCCATCCACTTTCTGAGCACCTGTAGTTTGAGCACTTATAGTTTATGATTTGGCTGGTTCACCCTCATCCCCTTGAGAATAAGAACTGCTATTTTCTGAAGCTTAGGAAGAAAAATGTACATGTACATAAAGTTGCAAAGTAAATTTGTGTTATATGCTAATATTGATGAATAGAATATAAATGTGGTACTTTACTGCAGTTACATTTACTCAGTTGAGCCAAAAAGTACTTATCTAACATAAGGAGCCAGAAGCAGTATATAGTGCATGGTGTAATAACTAATAATATCAAATCCCATTGAGTGATAAACACCTACACATATAGCAACAGTTTTTTATATATCCAAAGACAGTAGTGATCCTTACAAAGTAATTTTGCATAACTGTGGGAGATGATTTCTACTAGAGAATGTTTTCTGTTCACTACAAAAGTTCACATTTTAAAACATCTTTGAGGGCTGGGGATTTAGCTCAGTTGTTCTGCTGCCTGCCTTGCAAGCACAAGGTCCCGAGTTCAAACCCAGTACCCCCCCTGAACAAAATCTTTGAAGCATCTCAGTTTCTTGTCTTTATAGTACAGTCCAGATTCATTACTTTTTTGTAGTTGTTGTTGTTGCCAGGGATTGAACTCTGAATTTTGTGTTTGTGAGGCAGGTGGTGGAACCACTGAGTTAAATCTCCAGCTGCTTTAAACAAACAAACAAACAAACAAAACTTTTAAAATGAATTTGCACAATATTTCTAAACTGGAACTAAAAGTAACATCTGGTCTTCCATGTGGAGGTGGTGGTTGTTTTACTTTGTTTTGAGAGAAGGATGGGACAGTAGGTGGTGGACCCTGTAGGACCCTGAGAGCTTTTTAGAAGGTCACCTCTCTCAAATCTCTCCTTCTGCATTTCTCCCTTTTGGACAAGCCCTCTTGAACTTTGACTTCAACCCTTGGGTTTTAGGACAGTGAAACAATGCCCTGCATCAAGACTACTCTGAAAGCAAGTCCGGCTCTAGGGGTTTGTCCTGTCTGGCCAGAGGCAGCAGGAACCCTGCCAGGCATGTCCTGCCTCCTTGCAGCTGTTTAAGACCACTAATGGGCCTCCTGCTATCTTGTCTGCTGCTGGCCTTTCATTGGCGTCTTCTTATGCTTCTGCAGCATAATTACAGGTAGATAGAGTGCCATAAAGTCTGCGGAGCTAAAAATACAACTTAATAGGAGACAAAAGAATGAAGCTAACTCTTAAATTCTTGAGGTATAAGATAAAGTGAGAAAATTTCAAAAGACAAATTGTTCCTCAGTTGATTTTGAATTATGTAAGTTGAGTGTTGCCATCAGGAGACAGTTCAGTAACCATAAAATAATGGAGTAATGCTTGCTTTGTATACGGTAAATATGTGCTTGAAAAATTCAGCCAGTAACTTTATTATTGAATCACATCATATTGCGAACATAGTAAAATAGCATTTTGTCATTTTTCCTGGAATGTTCCTTTTTTGTTGTTGTTCTCTTTGATAAACTTGGATTTTCTTCACAAGAGTAAACATTACTTTTTTTTTTTTACTATTATTCATAACAGCAGTATCTATTTTCCTTCCTCCCTCTGCCTTGTCATTTGCAAGGCTCTTGCAAAAATCCCAGGTTGGATATTAAACTCTGACGATAGTTTCTTGATTTGTATCCTACTGAGGCAAGGCACATAACAATAATAGGGGATGCTATCTCAGAGTCTGCTGGAAGCTTCACTCCATTTAACACAGAGAATCTAATAAATACCAGATTTGGATTTGCTGACAGTTTTTTATCTCAGAATGTGGGGACAGTGAAAAAGGGCATTCCTATTCTGGACATAATTGTTTCCAATAAAAGATATTTAGTTGGTGACATGTAAGTGACAAGAACCTTATGAGAAAGTGATTCATCCTAGGGCTAAAAAACCCAGTGGACATAATTAGAGGTTTTAGAAAAGTGGGTATCAGAAACTTCTCAGAAAAGGTAAATGTGAATCTATACATCTTAAAAAAGAGAAGAACACTTTACAACTAAAAATATAGCACTAAATTACAAAGTGACCTGATAAAACTAAATTGAGGGAGAAGGCAACAATTGAAACACGTGATTCGTCTCTCCCAGGGGCTTGGATCTTTTCCATATAAAAGAGAGATGAGAAAAAATATCCAAGCATATTTACAAGAGTGGCCCAGTTCCGCACAAATGATGTATGAAGTTTAAACACAAGTATAATATAAAGATTTTTGTTTTAATGGAGAAGAAAGTTTTTAAATTTTTTGAAAAGACATCTGTTTGGAACAGAACATAGGGGTGCTAGAATGTTAGAAGAAACAACGGTGGAAAAGCAGATAGTGTGATGTTAAAAGAGATGATAGTGTAAATCATCAGTCAAGAAGACTATGCTGTTTGTGTATTTGTCGTATAAATATTTGCCGGTAAACTGTTTCTCAGACTTCTCGGTGAACTTTTCAGACAAATGAGTTCAGGGTCTCTCATTGCTTTTGTTTTCCTGACCCTCTGCTCTCCTGGTGGTATTTTGTATTCAGGTTCTCATCTGAAACTGCTCTGTATCATAAATGGCCCTTGTTTCTCTATGGCTTCCCCACCAGCACCACCTCTTCTTGTCAGCTCTGTGCCTTTTTATTTCTGTTTTCTTTCCTGAATATGCCACAGTCCATCCGCTTATAAGGTTATTCTCCATTTTTTCTAACTTTTTACGTACTTTCAACTTGGCTATTTTATTTGAACCTGAAACTCAACCTAATCACTTTCTCTACAAGCGATTACTTTTTCCATGTTTGCTTTCCTCAGTGTGAAGCTTTGAAGCAGTTATTGATCACTGCCCATTGTTCTTTAGTCACTAAGTCCTGTGGATTCTTCCTTCTCACTTTCGGCAGCATTGGGTGCTACCTTCCTTGCTCCCCGTGGTGTGATAGGAGAGAACCATTTGCTCTGGCTGCTGCCTCAACCCCGGCACCTCCGCATTTCCCTTCCTCAGTTCTGCAGGGCCAAGTCCAAGTTCCTTCGTGCTTGGGACACACTAATAACTCTGCACCCTATTCCCTTATTTATTAATAATGTATCACTTCACACACATTATATGCCACTTCTCACTCGGCACCTTATAATATTTCCACATAGTTCTGTTCTCCCTATGACTATTTCATTATTAGGCAGCACGTGTGTGATAGTACATAAGGCTTGTGGCATGTCTTCTTCACAGATTGCTTACCTACTCATAAAGTCATTGGAGTCAGAGTTGCTAGTTTTTGAAATCTCAACATTATCTTACCACAGTGTTAAGCAAATACACCCCAGCCTATACAGTGGGTCAGATATTAGTTTTATCGAAAGGTTCTGATTGTTATTAAATCAAATTCAGGTTGAATAACTTATATGAACTGCTTGGGACCAGAAGTATTTCAGATTCTGAAATATTTACATATATATATAATAATATATCTTGGTGAACCAACCAAATCTGAGCATGAAATTAATTTATATTTTATGTAGAGCTTATATACATATCATAAAATTAATTTTGTTTAGTTTTAGTGCACATGCATTTTGATTACAACCCATCATGTGAAGTAAGGTGTGGAATTTTCTACTTGTGGTGTCATGTCAGCACTCGAGATGTTTGAGATTTTGGAGGATTTTGGATTTTGGATTTTTAATTAGGGATGTTCAACCTGTAATATGAGCAAAAGAGCTGATTCTCTGCTTAGAACATGATTGCCACTGAATAAATATTAATCCTTCTTAGCATCTCAAAATCCTAACTCATAGAATAAGATTAAATTATATTTAATCCTACATTTAAAGCTAAAGAACAAATTACTTCAGTAGATTCTGCTTTCAAAAGCAGAGAAAGCCAGTGAACTAGTTCACGTTAATGTATCTGGTGGCATTCTCTCCCTTCAGGCTTCTGTTTGCAACTTAAAAATGACTTGTTTCAGCCTCATGCAACCCACCCTTGATCCATTCTTCATCATAATAATTACTGTGGCGTGGAAAATCTTCTGTTGTGTCCAGACTCTCTTTTCTGGAGATTTAAAAACAGCACTTGTGTGCAAGGTTTAGTCCATAATTCTTCCAGCTATGCAGTGAGGCCAAGGTGTCTTAAATCTCAGTTGTCCAAGACTAGGTGGCTTAAATATCACTACAGCATTGACATCGCGTGAAAAGGTCTGGATAACTCAGTGTCTCAACAAAGATTTTAAAGAAAGAACATTCAGGGAGTATTAAACGAAATTGTAATGTTTCTTATTTCTCTCTCTTTGTGAAACACTTCTCTCCTTTCTAAGCCAGTCCTTGTTTTCCGTTCATTCCATAGATTTCTAATTTGTTTCAAAATACAGTGAAACACATGACTTTAAAATAAATGTAACACACTAAATCTAGCTTATGATATGATGGCCAGTTACTGATGT